CCCGCGCCTCCCACCACCGCCGTCTCCGGGAGCAGGGAGGAGCCCGAGTGGACCACGGCGATGTTGATGCCACCCGAGTCCCTCTCTCTCTCCCGGGGCCGGAGCAGCAGGGGGGGCGAGGGGCGCGCGGGCCCCGTGCAGGCCAGGACAGCCAATAGCAGTGAGAGGGCGGGCCTTGGGGCCACCATGGGGTAAAGGGAGGGCCAGTGGCAGCTGTCGGATGGGGTTTGGCAGGTGAGGCCAGGTGGGATTTAGGGATTTTGGAGTAGTGGGCGACGTCTGTAGGGGAGGAGGGAGGGAGGAGAGGGGCTCACAGTGCTTCACCTGATGAGGACAGGAGACCCTGGAGAGGAGAGACAGAGGAGAGGGTGATTTAAAATCTGTGTCATGTTTCTTCTCTAACCATAAGACAAGTTTCAAACAGTCACTTCTTTTTATCGGTTATATATGTGAGTAAGTGTTATATGGAGTGGGATGAGTGAGTTATGTGGCTGTTATGAAGCACAATTCTCCACTTAACAATGTAAAGAAAATGACACACACTGCACCTACTCATCCTTGTATTTATTGCTCCTGCTCAGACATCCTGTAACTCTGTGAATTCAATTCTGTTTACATTCCTAACAACTAAATCCTGTAAAAATCCAATAAAAATTAACAGATAGGGATTTGTCAGCGTGTAGTGCAAAAACTCCAGAGTGATTACTGTGTATCAATGAGGATGAGGATCTTGCAGATTAGTACTTTAAATAAACTGTTGATAAGGTAAATAGAACATGGGTCTGATGTCTGAGGAGGAGCATATCAGCTTTTATCTCAGCAATCTTACTGTACCTGGTTAACAGAATTAAACCCCTGTAAAATCTCAGAAACCAACAAGATTAGTATTAAATTATCAAAATGTGAGAATCTGGTGGCCAATGGGAAGATGGTAAGGTCCCTAGAAATGAGATCCATCACCCCACTTTCAATACAATTTGAACATTTTTGCTCTCAGGACTTTAAGCAGCGATAACAATAACGACCTAAATATGGCTTTTCATAGCATGTCAGTCAATACAAGGCTAAAATGGTTGACCTTGGCAAGTGCTAACGTGCAGATGAGGTTAGGCTGTTGGACAAACTAATATTTATGTTAGTACAAGACCATAAAACCACGTGTCACAAATTATAATATCTTGTGAATAAAAACTGAAAAGATATAGCTCTCTTGTGTTATCAATGGCATTTATGTTTATGTGACTCTCTGTATGTACTGGTGATGCTTCTAAAATCTGTGTCAGGGTTTACTGTAGCTGCTGGCCCCCAAATGGCGGCAGCCGCCTTCTCTCATTTACTTTTACAGGCAAGTTGGGATTGATCTCAAAAAAGCCTAATTATAAACTGCACAAAAATATACTTTACAAATTAGTAGACACTGTTCATTAATTGTCTGTGCTATGGTAGACACTAAGTGTTTCTGGCTGAAAAAGCCAGCTGAAGGGAAAAAAGAACAGTATGCAGGTCAGGTCATATCCTCCGAGAGATAAACTTCAGAAGAGCGGTTTTCATTTCTAACAAATTTATTTTTTTCCACAATCCAGCACAGACTGAGGTCTAAGTCACAGCATGCCAGCGTGTGGATGGGCTCAGAGGAACAGGCAAGAGCAGGACCGCAGAGAATAAATGGTGAGTACAAGCAGAATAAAGTAGCAGAGAAAGTGCTGCAGGTGACGAAGCGATAGGAGATGAAGTGAGGGATGGATGGGCGAAGAGGATTTGATAGGAGAGGAGTGTAGATTCAGCTGCAGTGGGAGGACAGATGCAGGGTGTGTTTGTAAGGGAGAGCAAAAGGGTACAAAATGAGACCTGCATATGTATGAGAGGGGGAAGAACGGAAGATATAAGAGAGTATATTGAAAGTATAAAGTGTGTTTGTGTGCAGCAGACCCAAAACAGGAAAAGCAGAGTATCTGAATCTGAACGATGGCTTCATGCTACAGTATATAATGAGTCCTGGTAATGGAAAGAAATCTGTGAATAATTTGACACAATTGCCAAGTCCCAATATTCTGACTGAGCTTAAGATGCACATAAAATGAAATCACATTGAAGACATTTCAGCAAAAAATCTTCATCAGAGCTGCCCTTCGGCCCTGTATTTTGGATCCCAGGAATCCCGTTGTGAAATTATGATTTTTAACTTTATATTTCCCACTAGTGATTGCTTATGAAGATGTAGTTGCAGCAATTTTATCGCTTCACCCTCCCCTTCTAAGTGAGAAAAAAAACTATGGTGACCACACACTTTTCAAAAAAATTTCAAACAGCCCCATCTAGAGCCAGTGTTTGGTTTGTCCTATATGGGCTACTGCAGTTCAACACGGCACCATGGGTTGCCGTTGGTCTGTAGATAAAAATGGTTAATTCTAAGTTAACAAAAACACAAGGATTCTTATTTTCAGGATTATACACTAATGAAAACATACCTATGAATATTATATTCCATATATGTCAACAGATCCTCCTATATCTTAAACACTGGACCTTTAACTAATAAAATAATAATCTTTGACTTTTTAATTAAATTCATATCTTTTTTTGCCACTATATTATTATTAGGTGTAATACAACATTAGTCTATATGCTGATGATATATGCTTTTCTCAGAGGAGGATGTCCAAATGACACCATATTGTTTGTGGTGTATATTGTATTATTTCTAAGTGATCAGTACAGATTAATACTTACAATGAATATTATGATTAAAATCTCTTTAACTCTGGAGGGTAACTTCAAATGAGGATGGAAAGAGGATGACCTTGTCTGGCACTTTGAAGATTTAAGTCTGTTGACTTCTGACATCTGTGCACTGTTGCATATGTAGAGATGCTTTGGTGGGCGCATGGGATGTGGAAGTGTTACATATGCTTGAACTGTGTAGTAGACATGAAGATGTTGTGTCGTAGTAACATTTAAAAGGCATGAACTGCTTTCTGGATCTAGTTTCTATTAATTTATTACGTCATAAGCTAGGAATATTTGTATGCATGACACAATAATGAAAACACCATTATCATTATTATGTAACATCAAAGTGTAC